GCTCGCTCGCTCGCTCACCCGCCCGTTTGTTATCCTCTTCTTGTTTCTCGTCGTGGCCTTAGATTATCTACCTTCCTCCCACCGCCTGTGACTGTGACCTGTCTGTATGTCTAGCTCACGTTCCCCGTGAGCTCTCACTCGCTGGATCCCTCGGGTCTCTCTCCCGATGCCCATCAACACAGCGCGCTGGAACGCGGTATGCTGGCGATGAGGTGGAAAGGGTTATATTTATGACTGGGCTCTCGTTGCAAGAAGCCAGAAATGAGAAACTATAACCCAAGAGCCTAGCTCGGTGGGTACACCCATGAACTGTTGAAAGTACAAACCCGTGTTCGAATCCAGATGATGGAGCCTGACGAGTAAAAGTTGTAAAACCAAGTACTTAATATCTCAAGGCCGTCGCCCTTTTAAAAAAGAAAAAAGAAAAACAAATCGAAAACTACTCGACGCTCGTGATATGTGAGCAGCTCTCTTGAAAATCGGATGCCGTCCTTCGGGACATCCGTAAAAATTGGAACGATACAGAGAATGAAGATTAGAGGTGGACCCCACTGCTTTGCGGCAAATCTTTGGAAGACGATTTGTGAAACCCCACTGATACAGAGAATGAAGATTAGAGGTGGACCCCACTGCTTTGCAGCAAAGCTTTGGAAGACGATTTGTGAAACCCCACCGCTTTGCGGCGAAGGTATGGAAAACGCTCAGATATGACCTGGCAGACGTTTTCACTCAGTTTTGTTTTGCCTGTTCGGTTCGGCCATTCTGAGGGAGTAGGTGGGGGGGCACCGGTTTGGCCATCCCATGTGGAAAGGAGAGCCAGGGATCGGGTGAGAACCGAGACAAGCGGACGTGAAGTTTCCATATAGGGAAAGTTTTTCCTATCCGGTAACCGGCACCAACGGAACTGCGGAAAATTTGTGCTGCAGTGGGGTCTGCTTTTCTCTTTCCCACCTCCGGGGCCTACAATTTGGGTTTTTGGGAACCCGCAAAGCAGTGGGGTCCACCTCTTAGCATGGCCCCTGCGCTTTCAAGATGACACGCATAAATCGAGAAGTGGTCCAAAAAATAATTAGAATAATACAAGGATGCCGAAACCATGTGTTGGATGTATCTTCCCGCAATTAGGGCCGGATGGCTGTCTAAAAAGCACTCGTTTCGTCTGGAGCATGATGCCCTCTGATAGTGAATGAATGCAACCTGTCTTTCGTGTTAGGTACAGCCAAAATGAGGGTGCGTTTACGCGGTCAGCCAGCTACTTGGAGTCCGATTCAGGGGCCAAGTCCCACCAGCAGGGTTGAGTTTCCTGAACGCCCGAATCTGGAGGTCTTTGCGGAGCTGTGCAGAAAGTTCCATTGAGTTTTCTCAACTGTAGCTCTCCCCAAATAGGTCCACACTGCTAGTGGGACTTGGCCCCCGGCCATCGCCACACTATTCCCGAAATGTGCATTATGAAAATTAACCTCCGGCTACAACATGGCCAGATGCACCCACCACACTTCTGCCTTTTTTTTTTTTTTTTTTTTTTTTTTTTTTTTTTTTTTTTTTTTT